AAAAGAAAAGAAAAGAAAAGAAAAAGCTGAGGCAGAGAAGATGAGCAGCAGATGTGTCGTGAACAATTCCAGTTGTACAACAAGGCAATGCAGAAAAGGGAGGTCGTTCTAAACAAGGGTGAACACATGTAAAAAGAAGGTGCTAAAGAAAAAAGGAGGAAAATTTGAGTTCCGGATTGTGACCAGGCCGAACAGACATCTCCACCAGACCAGTGAACAAGCCCCAGTGTGTGTGGAAAAAAAAAAAAAAAAAAAAAAAAGAACTGACAAACAAGGAAAAGAAAACTTTGCAAAAAGAATCTCCAAAAGATAATAAGATATAAAACTCTCAAAAGAATTCACTGAGCGACGACTCCCAACTGCTGACCTTAAAGCAATTCTAAGGGCATATACTCGCACGGGGACTTTTATTACTTATTTCTGAACGTAATCGCGGTCAGATACATGCAGGTCTTCCCGTGAATGCAGTGAGATCAATGTTCCTGTAGGCTACCACAGTGGTGACAGAAATGTTCCCGTCGGCTAGCACAGTAGGTTTCATGCCTGAGCGGCACTGTGTAGGTGCGGGGTTCTATTCCCGTTGCCGTCACTTTCCGTCGCCCGAGGAGGATTGGTGGCCACTGGCCACGCCCAGTCAACACTGGCAACGGGCCGGGGCGAGTTGTGCCTCCCTGTAACCTGTGGCAATGCGGGAGCGCCGGGCCAAGTGGAAGTGGCTGCTCAGGTCCCGCTGCGGCCGGTCGGGACACACACCCAATACACATCCAATAAAAAGAGCCCTCCGGCTTAGTTCTCAGTCAGTACCACCATAGCTGACATTCATGGTTGGCTAGATTACAATGCCTATCAGGGTTGAGACCCCCTCGATTTCACAATACTTCCAGAGGGTTAAAACACCGGTACCTTTCCCAGATGTCGGCCGCGGGCATCTAGCAGCCTACTCCTGAAAAACAGCCGCCACACCGCGGTCGATATTTATCATTGACGGTGCCTGACGACCGAATTTGAATTTGAATTTGAGACCCGCAGCCCCACATATGAGAAAGGTACCGGTCGTTTAAAGAACTCTCAACATATCTGTTCCAAGACTCCCAACATATTAAGCTCAATAAGCAAGTTCAATAAGTCATGATCATGACACATAATCTACGATAACTTCCATAATAATCTCGAATTACCCAGGGCCGGTAAGTCCAGGGTGTTGTAGAGGCCAGTCAGTGTGTGCACAGTGATCACCTGGAACTGTGAGCCGTGGGTGTCCTGGAATATGAGACCACCTCCCAACCCATCCTCACGTCAATACTCCTAGCGCACCCCCTATCCCAATATTCTACCTCAGTGTGACCAGCACTACCATTGCCCTACCAACGGGCAGGCAACTTGGACCGAACAGCAGTGACAGGCACCAGGGCTGATAGATTGCCCAACCCTGGTGGAAGCGGAATCGGACGAACCTTGTCGAATGGGAACTTCGGATGCCAGGCCCAGACAATGAACTACAGGCCCCATATATATATGGCCACCAGACAGTTCTATCCGAATGTCAGTAGGAACTGCACCCAATGGCACCGTATCCAACCTACCTGAACCTACTGCAGGCACTAGACCCCACCAGTGACTAGCTCCCCAGCCTGTTTTTTGTGTATATATTCTGTAAATCTGTGTAGACAGTATCATGTGTGGAACCTTGTGTATGTAACCTGTAAGCGATATATAATTCGCAAGCTATGTGCGTATGCCCGAAAGCTATGTGTGCTCTGTGAATCATGTATCGAGGAGAGAACGGGCCAGCTGGACAAGGACCCCCCCCCAAGGACCGAACCAAGCTTGAACCCGTGACCTTGTAACATGTAATCCAAGACTCTACTGTATGAGCAACTACCGGAAATGGAATGATCGTGTGATATGCCGACTGGGGAGAACATCAAAACACCCGAGACCAACACCCCAAGCAAACCCTGTGAAACCCACAACCAACATACAACATCGTGGACTACCTTTGGGTGGTGCGCAGGCAGTGTCTGTAATAGTACCATGCATCAGCCCAAGGGAATGTGTGTCCAGCCGTGTGTCAATCTAACGCCCTGCCGGTGTCCATGCGCAAGGCTGAGGGGTTTTGAACCCGCAACCACAATGTGCATTTCCAACTGGTGCTCTAACCACTGAGCTAATGATGATTTTGATCCTTTTAGTTTTCATTTCAGATTGAATATTTATTTCTATCGACTACGGTCGATTCTTTTTTATGTAATTATGTACAGTTGTTATAATTTTTGTTTGACTGTGTGTCTAGGGACTAGGATTACCTTGCGGTTTCACGCTTGGTTGAGACCGTCCTAGTCGACCGATGTCCACTTCGTACTCCGGAGATCCGCGCCCTAGGAATGGACAACAGTCGGGTCCGCTTGGCGTTAACCAAGCGTATCTATACTACAGCGAACGAGCAAACGCCCTCGGCTGACCTGCCTCTGCAATTGCATTTAAAAGTTTTCGCACGTGGGTCAGTAGCTCGGTAGGGATACGCCCCTAAGGGTGGTGACAGCCCCTTAGGGAAGGAAAGCTTATGCCCCGCGGGAACCTATCCTGTCGTAGGGGACCACGGGATGTATAGCTGGCGCACCCGGCTAGAGCGGCGAAGGGACGACGAGACCGCATCCGCCTTGGTGGTTCGCGGGGTTATTTTGCATCGTTCCCGACTGCTGCCCCTTTTTTTAAGTTTATTTTATTTTATTTTATTTTTTATTTTAAAGGTAGTGTTATAGGGTGAGTACACCCTGAAGGTGTCCAGGTGAGCTTCAAAAGAATCAAAAGTTTTCAAAACTCATTCTGAAATTTCAAGTTTCTCTTGGGCCCATCAAGGTAGTTGGGACTTCACTCACTCGTCAACACACAATAGTTGTTGTCTTATCTTGGTTGCCATTCTATAGTCATAGTCTTCCCTAGGTTGCCATTCAATCAATAGCCATAATACTTGGCTTCTTCCTGCATTATTATACTCTCCTAGGTTGTCATTTTAGTCTTCTACAGTCTTATCTAATGGCCATTCAGTTCATCCTTTGGCCTATCAGTGCAATATTCCTCTACCTAAGTTGCTATCCAATGGTCTTGGCTTCTACGGCTATATGGCATTAGTCCCAACAATTCACTGCATAGCTATTAGCTAGTCTATAGCTAATATTATTTTGGCTTTGTTGGCCCCTTGTAATTTTTTTAAAAACTCCGGCTCATGGTACTAGACAGGGTGGTAAGAGCATTCCCCCCCCTAGTAACCGTCTGCCGGGCGCTCCAGTTTATTGGTGGGGAGCTTCACCTGCTGGAAAACGGGTCCAGCGTCCCATATGTATATCTGCAAAAGCCGCAATTGCTGGAAACCGGGTCCAGCGTCCCATCATAGATCAAGTATTCAGTGTCCGATGACGACCTGCCAGCATTGATTACCTGATCCTCAGGGGATTACTGAGCAGGAGATTACGAAGGAGGCCTGCACAGGGGGGTTGGGAAAAGGGGGGTCACATCAGCCCTACTGCAACTCATGATGAAGGTTTTCAGATATGAAAGTGATATCAAGTGAAATCTAAAGGTCGGCGAAAGGCAGTTGGAGTGGTGAGGCAAGGGGATCCTTGCTCCAGGGGGCGACCGGAGATAGGAGCCCCTTCCCTCCCTTCTCACTCCTTACTCCCTACTCCCTACCATACCAGCTTGCTTCCATCAGTGTATGGCCAGGGAGGGGAAAGGAATCTGGGAAGTCTGTGGAGGGGGGAGGGGGGTATCATCAGGGGCCATGGTCCAATCATTAAAATAGAGCCGGTAATTCTTCTGCCTGGCTTCCCAGCGGTGGTTGTGCCAGCCATCCCAGTGGACCCTTGCTATTCTTCCTCCTCGTTCCCCTCCTAGCCAATTCGTGCAGAACTCATATAGCCATAAGAGTACTAACCACCAATGTTGACGGTATTCAATAGTCTCACCTTCCAGAGCTCTACTATTGATTGCCAATGACACAGACCTCTTCACACTCATCGTCCCACACTTGTGCATCCAGTGGAACCAGAGGCTTTGCATGTGGGGCCAGACGCTTCGCATCTGGGGCCAGTGGGACCCGAGACGTGGCATGTTGGAGAAATGGGACCTGAGGCATTGCATGTGGGAGCAGTGGGAGACCAGAGAATTGCCACATGGGACCGATGGACCAGAGACTTTGCATGTGGAACCAATGGGACCAGAGAATTGGCATGTGGGACCAGAGGGGGACCACAGAATTTGCATGTCGGACCAAGTGCGGGACCAGAGAATTGGCATGTGGGACCAGTGGCACCAGAGACTTTGAATGTGAGAACAGTGGGACCAGAGACACCCATGTACACAATCTCCAGAAAAAGGGCAGAAGCCGCAGAACATCATGATATTTCATGTACACACATAATCCCCGGAAGAGAAGGGAAGATGGGAGCTCATTGGCTTTAGCGCCTCGTTCCACTACACTAGAATTGTAGACTAGAGAGCTACTCAGCTTTAGGTTCCACTACACTAGAACTGCACACTCCTACATCTTTTCCGCCATGAATGCCATAAATCTACGGGTGTGGCACGTTGGTAT